GTCGATTCGCGGGTTATACCGTCGTGGCCGATCACGTCCCAGTAAAATTTCGTGCCCATCCAATGTCGTCGCGAGCATTTCCTGTGTAAACCCGATGTTCCCCCCGCAGCGGACTTTATAGTAGGTAGAGTTAGGAGCCATAGCTAGGAAAGCCCTAGCTAGGCAAGAAACAGTTTAGGCAAAGAGGGGGTTCACTAGCAGGAATGAGGATACAAATAGCAAACCCTAGAAGGGTTGTACTCGCTATAGAGCACCCCACTACAGGCTAGAGCATAACATTCTGACACACCCCCATAGCCAAAGTGGGGTGTAATCAGCAGAGCAAGCAAAGCAGAACAAGCTCAGGGTGGATCACAATGTCACCACACATTCTGAGCACAAGTACAAGAAGCAATAGTTTAAAGTTCACAATTATGAGCAAAGCTAGAGGCTATCGCAGAGGGCAAGTGAGGAGGAGGAGGCGAGACTGTAAGAGGAGAGGAGATAGGAGGCGACGACTGAAGCTGCAGACACACGGGCAACAGGAGGCACACTGGCACAGCGGCTACCGGAACAGCGCTCCGGACTACTGGAGTAACTGGCCCCGCGGCTAAAAGTAGCGGCAGACGGGCGACGGACCCACGGGCGACTGGCACAGGTGGCTGCGACTGGGCTACCGGAGCAACTCCCCGGACTACAGGTGCTGCTGGCGACACGACGGCAACCTTCGTTCAACCTCCCCAAACAGTCCCACCCCCCCTGACACACACCCCCTGCTTCACCCCTAGCTCCACTCCCCCTTCACCCCCCTTAGTACCACTCCGACGGCTCCAACAGGTCCACCCCCCTCAGCGGCAGCTGCAGCACTGGGAGACGGAGGAGGAGGAGGAGCAGGGGACGGCACACAGAAGCTGCACCCCCATGCCCCCCACCCCCAAACCCTAATTCAGGAGAACGGGCAGTAGCAGGGGTGGGGCGCCATCAGAAGCACGGGGGACAGCGGGCAGCGCAGGGGCAGCGAAGAACGGGCCGCCCACGGGCCTGGCACAGCCGCCCGAACCGCGCGCAGAAGGCCCGAGCCGCGCGCGGGCCTGGCGCAGCCCGTACTGGCCGCGCGCGGGCCTGGCGCAGCCCGTACGGGCCGCGCGCAGGCTGTACGGGCCGCGCACAGGCCACGACGGGTGACGGGGGGCGACGCGCGGGTCCCCGTCGCCCGTCGCAGCGCCTCCCGGGAGCGACGCGCTGCGTGACGGGGCAGAAACCCGCCGCGCGCCTCGGGGCGCACGGCGGGCAGAGAACCGCCGCGCGCCTCGGGGCGCACGGCGGGCAGAAAACCGCCGCGCGCCTCGGGGCGCACGGCGGGCAGAAAACCGCCGCACGCTCCGAGCGCGTGGCGGGATGAAAAATCCGTTGCACGCCACGGGGCGTGCAACACAGAGAGTAGCAGTAGCAGCGGAAGCAGTGAGGTGGGGCCCACAGGCCAGGAGCATATCGCTCTAATACCATGTGAAAATAGTAGGTAGAGTTAGGAGCCATAGCTAGGAAAGCCCTAGCTAGGCAAGAAACAGTTTAGGCAAAGAGGGGGTTCACTAGCAGGAATGAGGATACAAATAGCAAACCCTAGAAGGGTTGTACTCGCTATAGAGCACCCCACTACAGGCTAGAGCATAACATTCTGACATTTTACTCTCTCCACTTTCTCCCGTATGGCCAGCGACGTTCCGTCAACTAAGCGTGCGTAGATTTCCGGTAAACACCGACTAAGTGCCAATTGCAGCTTCCGTGCAGTCGCGGTATTAACTAAACTGTGACATGCTCCTCCGTCTATAAAAATCTTCACTGCTGCTCCCTGTATTTTCCCGTGGATCAGTACTGGGCAATCCGTCGCTGTACCCTCCTTATTCGTCCGTGCCCGATCGATGGCATGAATCGATACTGTGACTCGGTGAGGGTCAGTCAGGTTGGGCGAGCAGGCAGTCTCGTCAGTAGTTGGCCCGATTCCTACTGACTGCTGGCATTTCCCTGCCTTGGAGACTCCCTCCCCTGCTCTGCTCTGCGGCGCCTCAGCTCCTCTGGACACTCGCTCTTGTGATTGCCCGGCCTATTGCAAGCAAAGCAGCGCCCCTTAAACGGTGCGGCAGCTGCATTCGTCGCAACGGCATGTACGGTGGCGTGCTCGGTCGATCCCCGATGACGTTGTCCGTAGTAGAACCCCAGTCTCGGACGGCTCAACATGTCGATTTTCTCGGCGAGCGCGAGAATCTCGTTGAAATTCGAGAGTCCGCGCAGCATGATTTCGTGCGAGATGTCCGGCTTCAGCCCCCGACGTAACGGTCCACCTGCTCCGCTTCGTGCATGTAGCCGACTTGCTCGCATAGTGCGAGAAAACCGCTCGTGTAATCTTGAACCGACCCGAGCTGGCGCCAAGAGTGCAATTTCTGACGCGCAGAAATTGAAGCCGCGATTGGCTCGAAGCGCGCCCGAAGCCCCACGCACCACGCATCCCACGTGCTGTACTGGGCGGTTTCGCAAAAGGAACTCCAGGTGACGGCTGGGCCTGTGGGCTCTCCCTCGTGCGACGGTGGCTCGTAGGCGCGTGGCGACGTCACGATGTCTCGCCACCAGTCTATGGCAGGGCCCCTCAGCAACGAAACAGCGTAGCGAATCTTCGTTGCGTCCGACTCGACGTAATTCGCGCCGAAGAAGACGTTCATCGTGAAGATCCACGACTGAACCATCGGACCTCCACGCTGGCTCGGGTCGAAACAGGGCGGGCGCTGCGGCTTGAGTGGCATTGGTGCGATGATGGCGTGGTCGCCACTCGTTGCTGCGAACTCCACGTGCCGACGGGTTTCGCGAGGCTCCCGCGGGCTTGGTGCGACCTTGTTCCTCTCCATGCCAGGCATTGAGTGAGCGGCGCCATCACTGGCTGCGCTTGAGCGCTGTCCCACGCTGTCGAGTTGCGATGGTGTGCCGGACGAGATAACGATCGGCTCGTCCGTTTGCGCGGGTGCACTTGCAGTGGTGTGTGTTGGTGCGGGTGGATTTGTCACTGACTGCTGGCGGGCGGAGTCGCATTCCGCCGTGAGCGTCGCGATTTCGAGCTGTGAGTCTTCGAGTTGGCGCACAAGACGGTCGAGCTGCTCCTGCGTTTGCGTCGCAAGATTAAAAGTTCGGCCATGGCGGGGGTGTCGGGCGAGCTTAGCGAGAGCCTCTGTCGTGGCCGTGCGTGCTTACGAGAGAGCACTACGAGCGGCGGCGCTTGTTCGCTGAGAGACATCTACCCCCCCCCAAAAAAAGTGCGATAGTGGGGAAGCGAAGGTGTGGGTGTGGTCCGAAAAGAGATCGTAGGCTCTGAATACCAAGTGTTACGAGTGCAATTGAGTGAGCGAACGAGAATTGCACTATCGAAGCAAAGTACACTCTGCGAAAGGCATGAGCGAAAAAAAATTAATGAAACTATAGTGGTAACGGTAATGCGTGAAAATGTGGTGCGCGACGGGCCTGGCGCCGATGTTGGGAAATGTTGAGGCGGAGGTCCGGAGCGCGGGTTATTAACCGATGAGGTTGGGTCGCGTCGTGAACAGTGGCATGAACAGTGTCGAGGCGAGTTTCGCAAGTGATAACGGATTACTGTTGGGTGCTGTTGGCGGGAACAGTGACGTACGCGCTGAGCAGGGACGCGAAGTAAGGAAAAAGGAAATTTCCTTACAGCAGTGCATTCCAAACGCTACGCGAAAAAATGTTGAAGCAATGTGAGGGACCGGTACCAGAGGAACATATATTTCTATCACACATTCACAAAGTTTGACAACCTCACTTTCACTGCTATAACATGAAGAATTCCTAGCTACAAAGGAGTCCCGCATCACTTCAAAGAGTATTCCGGGTAAGTCAATAACAGGAATTCGAAAGTGCCATCTGGGCCATGCAAATGAGGATTCTGTTGTGAAATCCAAACTGTGGTGGTTGTGGTTGCTCCACCAAATAAACCAAGCCCCCTCCCTCTGTTTCGCATACAGACACTCCAAAACACTTGCGCGCGAAAAACGCACAGTTTGCTTATCGGCGGGAGTGGTGTGCACAGTGGCTATTTTGTCGCTGCTATCACAACATTTTTACGTTTCTTGCCCACTGACTCATTGCACTGCCTGCGTCATATTACCCATTACATTACATGAATGATGCTCGAGCAACAAGGCTAAATCTAGAGCCATACTCTAGTAAAACTCCTCCTAGGAAAATTATAACCTTTCTCTACCCCAAAACGAGTATACCCAAGCAGCCCAACCAATATTGATGATGCATCCACTGCTCAACTCTGACAAGGCAAGTCTCACCTTTACAACCTGTCTCCAGGCGCCAATTAGACAGCGGCCAGCTGGCTCGTCTAGCGTAGTTTGGAGGTTTGGGAATCGGCTTGTCAAGGGTGGCTGATTGGGGCACTGTAGTAGAACTGTGGCAGTGCACTTGAGTTGGGACCACGCTCCGGCTCAAGCCGACCAGGCGATCACTGTAGTTTGGGCGAAGAGCGTCATAGGCCCGGTGCTGTCGCAAGGATCGCATGGGTCGTGTCGTGACCTCTGCTGTAGTCCACTGCTGCTCGATTTTGAATGGCCTGGTCTGGCTGGTTCATGTACCCAAATGGCGCACCAATTCCTTTGCCTCGCGTGTGCCTAAAACCGAAATCAATTGTTATGAAAACCTGCAAAACTCGCAATGCCTTACCGTACACTGTACGCCCAATGGAGGCCGGGTTTCAACGCCCATGTTGTTGGTTCGGTTGGGGGATCGATCGAAATCTCTTTGGTTCGGATGTGGTGGAGGCGCTCGTCAGTCAAACATCCTAGCCTGGAATGAGAAAACCAAGATGGACAACGGCGGGCAACAGGGACGTGTGGCGGAGGGAGGTTTTCTTCACTCAACCAAGCTACTAGTTCACTCCCAGACGCCATTGATCTGAGCTGAGCCAGTGGCGAAGCGAACCAGACTCGCCGCCACGCCATAGAACCCAACTTCAGATGACCTGGTCGATGTCGCGACTGTCGGGGAATGCACACTCGAAGCCCGTTTCCTCGTCGACCATGGACGATCGCTGCCCCAGCAATCCCTCTGTGGTGCGCTCCCTCGGCGGTGTCTCCGAACTCCCCCCGCCAGTCTCTGTCTTAGCTACTATTGAAATCGCCACGTAAGAAGATTTAGTAACTGAAAGGTACCTCTTCGTTGCTCCCGTTACCTCTCCGAGAGGAGATTTTTCCCATTCTTACCCAATAGCACCCCTCGCCATGCCCACGGGCTTCACCAGTGCGCCAGAGGCGGTGGGGGAGGTTTGGAAAGCTGACTGGTACATCCCCCACTGCTACAAGATCCCCGCATTGGCGCAACTCAACCACCTATTGGCGCAAATCCCCCGCGCGCCCACACGGAGCGATGTCTGGCACGCGGGGGCCGGCCCCGCGGACCTCCGGCGTTTCCACAACGACCTGGGGGAGGTCGTATCTGAGGCAGAGCTCGCCCAGAAGCAGCTGGGAATCTTCCTCCAGGCCGTGCAGACGACTGCGGCGGGGCTCCAAAAGGAGATCGGGAAGCGCCTCTCGGCGGAGAATCCGTCCGTTTTCCGGAAATGGATTCAGAAGCTTCCTGGATTCGACGACCCGTTGCTTGCAGGAGGGGTAGGCGGGGGGATGGGGCACGACGGTTCGCACAGCAGGAGCAACAGTAACAGTAGCGGGGGCGCCGGGAGCGGCGGGAACGGCAATGCGGCGTGCGGGAAGCTGACGGACGGCAGCAATGCGTCGTCGCCAGCGAATAAGGTCAGCAGCGACTCGCCACGCGACGACAGCGCGCCGACGCTGCAGCCGTCGAAAGTCGCCCTTGCGAATCGCATGCGATCGAAATCCATGAACGTAGTGTCGTCGGGGTCGCTCTTTCGATCGCCGGACGACAGCAGCGTCGCCAAGCCCCTAGGCCCGGAAGTTTCACCCATCTTCGCCTCGACAGGTCTGACCACACCTGGTAGTAATGGCTCTGGCGCAGGCTCGGGTGCGGGCGGCTCTGCGACGCGGAAAATGTTCACCCGCGCGTTTTCCGTGCGCGAGCGGCCGTCTGCCGTGTCGGGGGGGGACGGCGGCGGGAACAGCGTCGGAAGCGGCGGCGGAGGCGGAGGGGGTTTCCTAGACGCGTGTGGGTTCAGTCCCGTGTTACTGCGCGCAAGGAATGCGGGGAGAGTCGGGCCTGTGGGGGAACACGAGGGGGAGGGGGCGGGTGACACACCCGTCATGGGGCTCGGCGGGGGGAACGGGGGGAATGGGGGGAACGGCGGAGTGAACGGAGGGGGGAACGGGGGAAACGGAGGGCGTGACGGAGGCAATGGCGGGGGAAAGGTGGGCGGAGTGGCAGCGTGGGCAACACCGAGTGGAATTGGAAACGAGAATGCCGCGTTCCCTGTAATCACCGAAGCTCAGCAGCAGCAGGTGCCGCAGGGGCCGCCTGTAGCATCCTCGCCGCTACATCCGCCGCGTCAGCCAGCCTCAGAACGCCACTCGGGACCGCTGTTACACGGCACGGGCCAAATCCCAGCTTCGCACGCTGATGCGGCGCGGAAAGGACCTGCAGAAAAGCAGCCAAGTGCGAAACCGAGCGGTTCGTCTAGTAAGGTCGGAATCGGCGGGCTGCTATTCAGAAGTCGAAGCTCCAAAAGTGGCAGCCACCGCTGGACGCAGTCGCAGCAGCAGCTGCAGCAGCGGGTAGCAGAGGAGGAGGAGGAGGAGGGCGGGGAGCAGGAAGAGCAGGAGAGAGGGCGCTTGAGCCCATCCAGTGGCCGTAGGCTCGAGGGTGGCGCGTCAGGGAAGGGAACAGCAGCGTCCAGGAGGGTGGGGGGGCCAAGGCTCACCAAGAGCCGGTCAGAGAAGGCGCCTAGCAGCGCTATGGGAGGGGCGAGGGGAGGGGCGCGCGGAGGAAAGAGCGGGCACGAACGGCTGCAGGAGATTCTCAGCAGCGTGGGCAGCGGGTGGGGCGGACTGCCTTTAACCTCGTCGTTGAGTGGTGGCAGTGTTAGCTCGAGTGGCAGCTGCTTGCGGGGGGGTAGTCTGGTGTCTCGGAGCGCTACTGTAAGTGGGGTGGGACCGGCGTTGGGAGGCATGATGGGGCCGGCTGGCAGGGCTTCTGTGATTGGCAGTGCGGGTGGCAGCATGAGTGGCAGCATGAGTGTGAGCGTGATTGGTAGTGCAGGAGTCAGTCCACGGGGCCCGGCCAACGAAAGCTTTGCCTTCTCCCACCTGCCCCAATCCCACAGACTCTCTCCTGCTTCCCACTCCCAAGACTCCTCTTCCAGTGATTATGCCATGTCTCCGTATGGGGGAAGTGACAGAGGGGGGGTGCAGGCAGAGAGGGGAAGGGAGCAGGAAGGAGGAAGTGGGGTGCTGCAGGGCAGCAGGGTGCTGCTGTCGCCAGCCAAGGCAGCGCAGGAGGAGAAACTGCTGGAGATGCTGCGATCCACACCGCCTGTTCGGTGGGACAAGCCGGGTCAGGCTGGAAACTACACCAATCAGACCCAGAGTTAGCAGCATCTCATGACTGTGGCTTGGAGAAGCACATCTGTCCCAGCACCAAGATAATGTGGAGCAGGTGCAACAACCATGGAAATTGATAGGGTCCTTGAGCAATAACTATAATGGCTTGTGACTTTGACATTCAATATGCACGTTGATTCTGTGTCTGTATGATATGTTTCCATACGTAGGCTTTACCAAAGAATGAGATTTTGTACTGAAATTGCAACGTGTGCATTTGGAGTTTGGTTTAAATTTGAATCAACAATCAGTTCTAAACGTATTGGTGTGAGGATTGAGTTCTATAACGTAATCAGTGATGCTGTGATGTGGAGGGAAGCAGTCCAGTAAGGTACGGTATCTTGAATTGGAAGAGGAATACGTATGACAGGTTCTAGTGACCTTGATTAGCTATCAATTGAATCGATCCCAAGACTGTAGAAGCTTTATTCATGAGTTTGTTTCTAGAAGTTCTGTCTGGACCTACTTCCGCGATGCCCAAAAATCCCTCCGAAGCCAGCCCCACCCGACCTCTTTACACCTGCACACCGCACCACATCCCCATAATTTCCAGTGCCTGCCTCACGTTGGCCCTGCCGCTACGCGATTTTCCCCATTTCGCTCTGCCTACTTGTGTTCTATCTTCCACCGGTCCAGACCCTTTTCCCTAATTTCTCTTGGCTAGGGACGTCCTGCCAGGATGAGTCACAGGAAGTTCGAGCATCCGCGCCATGGTTCTCTCGGCTTCTTGCCCCGGAAGCGGTGCAAGCGCTCACGCGGGAAAGGTAGTCTCCTGACCGATAATCCGTAGGAAGCTCATTTCCGTTCACAGTTCCGACATTAAAGCCTACCGTTCAGTTGGTCCCTCGGATAGTATAGACCAGGTCTCACGCACCGGTGCAGAGTCACCGTTGGGTCCCTGATTTCGTTTACTGAAGCTGTCGTGTGCTCCGTATGTGCGTGGCGTTGTCCGTGTTGCGTGTTGGCAGTGAAGGCGTTCCCCAAGGATGACCCCACCAAGGCTCCCCACCTGACGGCGTTCCTGGGCTACAAGGCGGGCATGACGCACATCGTCCGCGAGGTCGAGAAGCCCGGCTCCAGTACGTCGCCTCTCTTCGCTTCTAATATAGTTTTCGCAATGTTGCTCACAGATTAGGGTTGAATCCGCACCTCCCCTCCACGATCTCAAAATCGTGTGTTCCCGCATACCCTCCTTAGCTGCTGCTTCATGTTCGACGTGCTCTCAGTTTATGTCTAACATATGATCGTCCGAACGTCCCCTCTCAACAGGGCTGCACAAGAAGGAGGCTGCTGAGGCCGTCACCATTGTCGAGACCCCCCCCATGATCGTCTGCGGTCTCGTCGCGTACGTGAAGACCGCGCACGGCCCGCGCACGCTCACGCACGTGTACGCCGGGCATCTGAGCGACAACGTCCGTCGCCGGTGGTACAAGAACTGGCACAAGTCCAAGAAAAAGGCGTTCACCAAGTACGCTAAGAAGTTCAGCACTGACGAGGGCAAGAAGGAGATCGAAGAGGAGCTGGAGCGCATGAAGAAGCACGCGTCGATCATCCGCGTTATGGCGCACACCGAGGTGCACAAGCTGAAGGGAATCAAGCAGAAGAAGTCGCATCTGATGGAGATCCAGATCAACGGTGGCACGATCGAGGAGAAGGTCGACTGGGGTTACAAGCTGTTCGAGAAGGCCGTGCCGATCGATGCCGTGTTCCGCAAGGATGAGATGATTGATGTCATCGCCATCACCAAGGGTCACGGTAACGAGGGTGTGGTACACCGTTGGGGTGTGACCCGCCTGCCTCGCAAGACCCATCGTGGTCTTCGCAAGGTCGCCTGTATCGGAGCGTGGCATCCGGCTCGTGTGCCGTACACCGTGGCGCGCGCCGGTCAGAACGGTTACCATCACCGCACGGAGCTCAACAAGAAGATCTACAAGATCGGAAAGAAGGGCGACGAGAGCCACAAGGCCAGCACGGAGTACGACCGCACGGACAAGGAAATCACCCCCATGGGAGGCTTCGCGCAGTACGGTGTGGTGGGCGAGGATTACATCATGATCAAGGGGTGCTGCCCTGGCGTGCGCAAGCGCGTGCTGACGCTGCGTCGGTCGCTGCTGAAGCAGACGTCGCGCAATGCGCTGGAGGAGGTGAAGCTCAAGTTCATCGACACGTCCTCCAAGTTCGGCCACGGTCGCTTCCAGACGTCCGAGGAGAAGGCCAAGTTCTTCGGCCGCACCAAGGCGTAAAGCGGCTCTTGCGGCCATGGGGCTTGTGTGGAGGTATGCACTGTGCCTTGCTTGTGTGCCATTTCCGTTATTGATTAGCTTTCTTGCTGGTCGTTCTGTGCCCTCTTGTTGAACCTTTCATCTCAATGATAGTTCTGGAAGCATCAAATGAGATGTTATTTTTGCTGCTCTCAAGTTTCCTGTTTTCATTTTGGGAGGGGCTTGTGGCTCCTCCGAGCGTCCTGCCTTGTGTTTGTGTCGTCTCTGGTTGATTGTGCGTGTGTTGGGAAGGCAGGGCCGCGAAGATGCTTGATGCGTCATGGCACGTGGCTTGGGCCGCTGGTACTGTGCCCAGCGGCTGAAGGAGAGCAAGCCCTACCATTGCCATGCCTTCCACTGGGTGGGATGGTATGGGCTTGCTTCTCTGGGCGCCCCGCACCACTGCCATGCCCTCTGCCTTCCCTTGCTTAGCGTCTTCACGAGGCAGTGTTGGCTTGGCTAGAGGGGTACTTGGTTTTGGATATTTGAGAACATGAATGTTATTAATGATTCAACCAAGCTATAAATGTTTCTGTCCATATCGTAGGTTAGGCATGTACAAGCTGTTATTAGCAAATAATATTGTTCCACAATATGATTCCGTTTTTAAATGTATTATGGGGCCAGCAGTTTGCTGCCAGCCCGTAATTGTGCAAAAATTATGCCGCCCATATGTCTTGATATCCATACGGCACAAGGTGTTGATACACCTCGTGTGGCATGTTCGCCAGTCGGCCCTTTTAGACCTCGTTATTGTCACGCGGCTGGTTATTAGCAAAAGAAAGAGTGCGTTTGTTATTGCCTTGTGGGACCATGTCGTGGATCGCTTACTGGTCTCTTCCCACGTCAGGATCATCGATGACGTTGCTAACTACAGCTGGTACCTGATTAATTGCCACGTGCGGTCCGGTTACATAAGACTTAAGTGATGTGGGAGGCTTGGAATAAGTTCCTTGAGCTTTTGGCAGGATAGGCAGGAAAAGTCAATGCGAGCAAACGTGCCATCGTCATGAATACATGTGAAGCTATGGAACCGAGTCATGTTCAAGCTTCCTTAGCACCGCGAAGGATTGTGATCGATGACGTACTCAGCCCGCGTGAGTGCAAGGTGGGTGGTATTACGCGTCTCGCACTCACACCCGCTCCTTCCCTTCTGCTGCGCGGTAACGAGATTTCAGCCGTATTCCATCTCGTTTTTCCATCATGCCAATCAAGCCACGCTTCTCTTACCCACATACGCCCCCGGCCCTCACAATCCAAAATCTCGCGTTCCTTCGCGCCGCAGCAGCACGGTGGGGTACTCACCGCATGCAATCTTGATAGCACACACCGTCTTCCGAACTCAGAAGCTCCTGGCTGTGCTTCCCCTTGGTCTTCCAAACCAGGAACTGGCGTTCATTCACGCTAGCAGCAGCACGGTGGGGTACCGACCGCATGTGCGCTCCACCACGCTCGCTCATCTCATTGCCACCAACTGCGGTCCCCTCATGCTCCCCATCCTCCCCATTCGAGGTACCCTTGTACCAGTCACTGGATAGTCAGCTGACTTGTATCGTCCTTCCATGGTCGCCTCAGCGTTTCTTGCCTTGTTTAGATTCCAAATAACCTTCTCGTTGTTCTGTGTGGCCCAATGTTGGCCGAACATGACAGTGCTGTGTTACCGAGTGTAACCGGTATCTAGGCCACGTGTGCCTGCAGCCCGTTACAATTATACTTAGCATCTATCTGACACGAGTTGGTCCGTTGTGCGTGCGTGCATGCATGCATGGCAGATCGCGTTCGGGACAAGGTGGAGGAGGCGTTTGGCATGCAGCTGGGGCTGCTGGTGGAGTTCACGGGGATCATCAGCTGGCTGCCTGGCGCCACCATTGGCTGGCATGCTGACGACAACAGGCCTTACCTCAAGCAACGCGCATTCGCTGTAAAACACTCCCCTTTTGCTCATCGCAACCACCCCTCGCGTCCTGTAACATATAGGGTTTTGCTTTGACGTGTCTGCTACCGTGCCTGTTGCTATTTTCACACAGTCCCTGTGCTCCGTTTGGGCCTGCTCCGCTACTGCTCTACTGTGATGGTACTTGTGTGTGCCTCCTGTTCGTGCCTCAGCGCGCACAAGTTCGTTCTCATGCGTCGCAGGCAGTGTGTTATCTGGACGAGTATGGCAAGGACTTCGATGGAGGCCTCTTCAGGTTTCGACAGGGCCATCCTCACACTGTCGCTCCCAAGCCCGGGGTGAGTGCATTGCAATTGGAATGCTTGTGGTGATATGGACACCCACTGCCTGACATGTGCTACTCCATTTGCGGCCATCCAATTCTCCAGGATATGCAGCCGTGGACGCATGCCAGGTCTGCTTCTTACGTCAATCTGTATCCTCATCCCCTGCCTCGTCTCTCATATGGCCGCAGCGACTCGTGGCATACTCGGCTTCAGGGGAGAATGAGCATTGCGTTGATCCTGTAAGATGGGGATGCTCATGATTGAGGGGAGGGGGGAGGCACAAGGAGGGGAACAGGCATCTATGTCAAAGGCACATCAAAGATCAGCAATAAACACATTGTACTCAGAATATTACACTATTGGCCCACGCTTCAGTTCCATGGTCTCTGAACATGTTTAATGCCACTCTTGATTGTCTGGGAACAAAAATAGCTTCTTGACGTTTTCTTGCTTCTTGGCAGGTCATTCGAGGTCAACGCCTCACCCTCACTCTCTGGTTCACACTCGATCCGTCACACAGTGAAGACCTCTCCCTCCTCACCCTCCTCTCTCGCATCCCCCTCTCCCTCCACCATCCCTTCCCTCGCATTACCCTCAACCCCCCTCTCACGGGGGATGTGGGATCTGGGAAGGGCCCTGAAGCTGGCAAGAAGGCCGAAGTGGAAGCTGTATCTGAGGACAGGGGCGTTAGGGAAGGGGTATGTGGGGCGAACCAGCAGCACTTGGCATCTGATGGGCTTGGACAAACAGGTTTGGGGGAGCTGAATGGGGGGGCGTCAGAGGGGAATGAGAAAGAGGGGAGCGGAGGGGATGGAGTGATGGAAAGGTCAAAGAGGAGGCGCGTTTGCAGATCATCATGCTCGCCCTGTGGCTGTGAGGCCGTGACATGTGTGCATGTTGACACGGAAGCTGGCAATGAGGCAGTGCTGGTGCCCATACCGCTTGTGGCGTCTAATTCTCTGTATCTCGTGCAGAAGGAAGGGCAGGGGAAACTGGGAGAGGGGGAGGATGGTGAAGTGGAAGGAGGAGAGAAGCAGGGAGGGAGCGAGTGTGGCAGGGAGGGGCAGGGAGAGGGAGAGGTTGATATACGGATACAGGAGCTAGCCAGTATGGGATGGAAGGCTGTTCCATTTCTTCAAAGCAACTGCATTGCCACGATGCAGTCACCTCCTGGAAGTGATGGCGCAGGGTTAGTAAAGACAGAGTCTGAGTGGGTGGCGTTAGTCCCTAGTCCCAGTCCGAGAAGAGACGAGACAAGCCCCTGCCTTCAATGTCCGGTTTCAGAACTAGGAAAGGGTGGAAAAAAAGCAGGAGAGGTGGAGAAGGATGTGGCAGGGGGGAAGGAGAGGCAGGGGCATGAGGCCGGAATTCGTCAAGAATGCATTGGTGGTGATTATCGTGAGGGGTGTGATAGCAGAGGGGGAGGAGGGCGAGGGGACTCCGTTGGGGAAAAAGCACGTGTCCTGGCGTCACCGGTTGTGTTCTACAATATTCTGCATGCTTTACAGGTATGCTGCTCTTGAGAGCGGGGATGTGTGTGTGTGGTGGGGGTGGGGGGAGGGTGGGGAGGGCGGGATGTAAGGGGGAGACTGGGAGGGCAGGGGGGGAAAGGGGGGAAGGGAGAGAAAGGGGTGGTTGGGGACTGAGAAAGGATTTGATTGAATGAGGCGGAGTTCAGCAGTTCGGCAGAGCCTTATTGTCCTCCCGTTGTCCTTGTCGGCCGTGTGCAGGTGGCGGCCTTCCTCAAGTGGCAGATTAATTTGAAAGCGAAAGGAAAAAATCACAACTGTGGCAGATGCGAACAATGTCAAATGGATTCTCAGTGTAGACTGAACAATCAGCGGATATTGTTGGTAGACGCTAAGGAGGCGTGGATAAAGTACATAAGGGGTCTCACCAACGATTTCCAAAAATCTATACCCAAGTGGCAGACCCATCAACTTCTGTATGACTGCCTGTAACCTTGCTGCTCAGACATTTGACACTGCAGTTCAACCAGCTTTGTAAGTAGCAGTACAGTCCTCCATGTGCAAACCTTCATCACGTCAGACTGACAAGCTCCATTGTAAACAACATTCGAACGGCTGCTATTTACGTACCCCACAAAGTACTAGTAGCTCGCGTACCGGTATCCTCTCTTTGGGGCACCTGCCAGATGGATGAAGAGCATGGCCAATTTCTGCCTGTGAGATTCGTTCTTTCCGCTTGCGCTTGTACAGCTTGCCCGCAGTGGGCCGTTACCTGGGCGAAATTTAGTTTCCCGATGATTGATTCCAGGATTGCTATTGGCAGGAAGTCGTCACGGGGTTCTTCAGACATGTGTACGCAGCGGACGCGCGCTCGCAGGTTTGTTCCTGGCCTTTTCGTTCTCGAGTAAAGGATTCCGCCCCTCAGTTTTGCACAGAATGTGACGTCAAGGTACACCGCCGTATGGCAGGCTCAGCCTCCAGGTTCAACGTCAGGGCAAGAGGGCGAGGATAGGACCAGCCTTGGTCGTATAGCTGCTCCGTTCGATTCCCCTCAAGGACTCGTCAGAAGCTCAGGAGACGCAGCGTCACTGGAGGATGATATCGCTCTTGCAAATCCGCTTGCTGGGTCAGCTGAAGCAAGTGACGAGCGGAGGGAGGTCGCAGAGAATGGTGGTGAAGCAGCAGGGCAACGCAAGAAACGAAAGAGACAGTCCGCCGCGGGTCTGGGAGCAAGAGCCGTTGCTCTCCCCGGTAGGCATCTCTACCATTTGCCTGCAACTTCCTGCAATGCTGTGCTGGTGTTATTTGATGCGGGAAGCATGTCATTGGGTGGGATGACCATGATACATACAGAATTTTCCTCTTCTGCTGTGCCCTCCCCTAATCGTCTTGGCAGTAACCAAACCAGCGCAACGCCTTTGTTGTGGTCTTCTTCGACTATTTGTTCAGGGTGAGCTGCATGTCCTTTACCACCGTTCATCAGGACAGGCCAAAGTATTACCCTCCGCATTATGAAGCTCATGATTGTTGTTCTGGGTTGTATTTTTGGTACTGCAGAAGCAGTTGGTCGTGCAACAGAGCAGGCAGAGGTGGAAGGTTCCACTGAGATTGAAGGAACTCACTTAGAAAGGATTCTTCCAAAGCTGCTCTTGGACTTCTGAGTGCCATGCCAAGCTGCAGCTTATGAAGCATTTTTAAGCCCCAGCCAGGCTTGTATGTACCGTACTTAACATTCCAGCAGGACACAAGTTGGATGCTAAACCATTATGAACATGAAGTGGCAGCAGCAAGCCTGAGAGATACACTCAGAATCTTTATGAACCGACATATGAACAGCCTGCATACATGAATGATCTTATCGTGACAAGAATCTTCTAAGCACAAATGCTGCATTCTGCAGTATATATTTTACAGTGAGCCATCACATTCCAGCAGCAGTAAGAAATTTAATGCTTCACTGTTGTCACAAGATCAAGAAGCATCCCAGTAACCTGCAAATCAGCTCAACAAAATGGTGTTTTATTTCAGCCAAAAGAAAAATGCGATGATAGAAAGAAAGACGGATAAATGGCACATTAACTAAGGTGTTTTTTTTTTTAACTCACATCTTTCGACACATTGCCCGCTTCCTTAGTCAGCTGATCAATCTTTTGCCTCGTTTGCACCTCCAGCCGCTTCACAGTCGCTTCCGAGTCGCCTGACGTCTACGGACACAGACAAACAAACATGTATCAGACGCGCTAAAACTGATCAACCGACAGCAGGTGCCTGCATACAGACACAATGGGTCAATGCAACGCCACGGCGAAGTGACACTTACCCCGGCCTTTTTCTTCCTGTACTCCTCCTCACGCTGAGCGCGGTAAGCAGCGGCTTCCCTCTCCGCTTCCTCCTTCGCTTGCCTCAACCTGGCAGTTTTGGCTGGAAGATTAAATAGTCAACAAAATGGTAGAGAGGAAAATAGTCCGTGATCCGAAACCGAAGGAGACCAGGAAAGGATCCTGTGAGACAGGGGGACTACTTTCTACTCGTTGCATCGTGAGTGAAAAGTTTCGAACCGCAAAAACTAGCGGCTCACCTGCACGAGCTGCAGCTACGACCTTCTGGGCTTCTTGCTCTGCCGCTAAAAGAAGCTGAATGCCTCCTTCCCGAGACGACGAACCATCCATGGCACCGGATCTAATGAGAATGACCACGCAGGGAGGAGCTAGTGCCTCCTTTTAGTGAAGCAAGCAATGCAGGAATGTCTGTTGAGCTGATCACAGAAGCTAGGGTAACGCGGACTGCCAGTCAGAATGCCAGGAACAGCAGCAAAAGCACGTACAGCTCGAAAAAGCCAACACGGACAAGGGCGGGTACAGCAAGGGAATCAAGAAATTTCGATACTGCCGAGATCTGTGGTGGAACAATTTGCATGTGTGCAATAACACTATACAATGAATCTGTGAAGTTGCTCACTTATCACAATTACTTAGTATTGGTACGGTACTAGAAACCCGGTCAATTGCATTTACTTTGGATACGGATCATATTCGAACACGCCATCTACATAACATCTTTACCGTAGAGCCTACTTATTATACCCAAAACTCGTGTCCACACTCATGTCCTCTGTCTCTCAATCCATCCACTTCAATGGATCAATTGCCCCCTTGTGCTTCCACGATAAGCATCGGGAAATGAAGTTCTGAAGGGCCGGTTTGCTAACAGGCTTGCTCAAGTAAGAGTTCATGCCAGCAGCCTTGCACTCGGACTCTATCCCAGACCCCACATCTGCTGTCAGTGCTGCCACCACCGGCTGCTGCTCTGGTGGCAGCTCCCTCTGAAGGAAAGAGTGAAAATGGAGGGAGAGAGAAGAGAAGCATGGATGAGGTCGACATGTGCCTCGACTGTTCAAGGAAGACAGAAGAGGCACAGAGAAAGACTGAAATGCTCATGCATGTTTGAACTTGAACGGAGAGCAGTGAGGAGCAGTTGAGAGCGGTGGAGAGGAGTTGTGTGGGTTACTCTGAGGCAGGCGGTGGCAGTGAGGCCGTCCATCTCGGGCATCTGCACGTCCATGAGCACCAGATCCACTGTCACCTGCCGCAGCCGCTGCATCACCTGGTGGCCCCATGCACTCGCAGTGCCACCACCAGGGGGGTGGGGAAAAGGGAGAGAGGAATCAGACAGCAGCGGTGGAGCGTAAAGGGAAGCCGTGTAGCAGTGCAGCAAGGTGTGTAGAAGCAGAGGGGCAGTGGTGAACAAGGGAGTACCTCGAGTCCGTTGATGGCAGTGTAGCACGACCTCACCCCGATGCCATTCAGCAGCTTCAGCAGCACCTGCACCCCCCCATGCAAGGCAATTTCGCACACAATAGAGTGTCAGTACCGGCCCACATGCACACACGCCTGGCAACAAACAGCACCTGTGTTCAGCTCAGCGTGCGCACTGGAACAACCATCACACAGCGGGCGGGAAGAGCGCAAAGTGACACCAGTCGCTACAAGCACGCACGCGCTGGTTGACGATGTTGTCCTCCGCGATGAGCACCTGCAGGTCCCCCGGGCGCGGGCTGGACCGCTCCGCCCGCACCACGCCCAGCGGCATCGGCTCCTTCACCACCGCCACCCGCAGCGCCGCCACGTCCCGCGCCACCGCCTTCGCCACCTCCTCCGGCGCCGACCCTGCTGCCGGACCTGGGGTTGTTGCACGGGATGGGATGGTGTAGGGGAGGTGTGAAGCGCGGGTGTGGTGTGAGGGGCATGAGGTAGGGTGTGGTGGGGTGGGGATGTGTGGTGATGAGGGAGCAGGGGTGGAAGGCTACAAGGCAGGAATTGACAATGACTGGTATGGGTGCTTGCATTGAAGAAAAGAAGAGCGGTTGCATGCAGTGCAGGCTAGACCTGACCGTAACTGCCGTGGAGGGCAGATTTGCGCGTACCTGCAGTGGAGGGTAGACCTGACCGTACCTGCCGTGGAGGGTAGATCTGGGCGTACCTGCCGTGGAGACAGAGGTGGGGATGGAGGCGGGCAGGGAGGCGAGGGCGGCGGAGGAGCAGCCAGCGAAGGAGGAGGGCACGGAGATGCCCGACAGCCCTGCCGGCCCCGGTGACGGCGACACGGCGGACGGCGCTGGTCGCAGGTCCAAGGGCTCCTGCACGGGGCAAGGGGCGTGGGGCAACGGTGGAGGGACGAGGTGCGACGGCGGAGAGGGGGAGGGGGAATGGAGAGGGGAAAGGGGAGAGGGGGGAAGATGGGGGAGGAGCGGAGAAGGAGATGGTGGAGGGGCTGCGATACTGTACACTTCATGCGATAGTGTACACTTCATGCAATACTGTACACTTCATGCGATACTGTACACTTCATGCGATACTGACTTCATGCGATACTGTACACTCCATGCGATAGTGTACGCCTCATGCGATACTGTACACGTCATGCGATACGGTACGCTTCATGCGATACGGCACGCTTCATGCGATACGGTACGCTTCATGCGATACTGTACACTTCATGCGATACTGTACGCTTCATGCGATACTGTACGCTTCATGCGATACTGTACGCTTCATGCGATACTGTACGCTTCATTAGTCATACTACTACAACCAGGTATTGTGAACAATGACCCTGTACCGGATGCAGTATGGTGTGAGAGAGGGGGAAGGGACTAGGGACTGAAGAGGGGCAAGGGACGAGGGTCTAGAGACTCACGTCGAAGAAGGCGGGGGTGTCGTAGCGGGGGGAGTCGGGGACAGCAGGGAGGGTGGCGAGGGCGGAGGGGGCGAGGTACTGGATGAGGTGCTTGTACAGCTGGTTCACGCGCACTGGCCGCGACAGCACCTCCACCTTGCGCTGGCGACATTCGATAAGGGTGGGGGGCGAGAGGAAGGGGAAGCGAGGGGGGAGTGAGGGAGAAGAGAGGATGAGGGGAGAGGCAATGCTGTTGTTGTTCACTCGCACATGCGCTGACAGGAAGATGCAATGGAAATTGAGAGGGGCAGGGAGAGAACATCCGGAAGCAGGATACTGCGGGAAGAGGTGGAGCAAGCAGTGGAGGGAGCAGCGCAAACAGGGGCAAACAGGGAGGGCGGAACCGAAAGCAACTGCTGCTGGGCCTCGAGTAAACCCACTTTTGGGCTGCAACCAAGATTTTTCAAACTGCCAGCAAGGCTCACCAGGAGCGCGGGGTCGAAGGGCAGTTGGCGCTTGGAGTGTTTGGAGAGGAAGAGGAAGGTGGGCGCAGTGCTGGCACACGCGCACCCCAGGTGCATCATCAGCAGCGCGCGCTCCTGCTCGTGCTGCGCCGCCAGCGCCAATGCCAACGCTCCTCCCCCTCCGTACCGCCCTTGTCCGCCAGTCCCTCGGCTGCTGCTCGTGACTGCTGGTCCGTCTACAAGCACCACGTCGAAGCGCTGCCCTTGCCGCGCCTGCACCCGCGCCAGGAACGATAGCTCCTCTCCGCCCCGCTTCTTTCGCTCCTTCCCCTCCCTTTCCACTCCGCCCTCCACTTGCTGTTTCCCACGCCCACCGCCTTCCTCCCCCTCTTTCTCCCCATCGCCATCGCCATCACCATCCTCCTCCTCCTCATCGTCCTCCTCAGATGGTGCTTGTTCAGACGAGCCTCCTCCCTCACCCCTCCCTGAAAAAACCCCTCTGGGCGTACTCATAGCCCTGGGATACCCCTTCCCCCTCTCCTCCCCTCCCACTCTTCCCACCGCGCCCTTCTTCCCTCCCTCACTACCCGCACCGCCCTCCCCATCCGCCCACCCAAACAACGGCAAATCGCTCCAACTCCCCGACCGGTACACCTTGAGCAGGCTCTTCTGCTGCTCCTTCTCGCTGCACCCTGCGGCACGCCCCAGCCCACCCTCCTCGCCCGTCCACTGGTCCCAGAAAGCATCCACGGTGCGCACAGCAGTGCACGACACACCCCACGCGGCCAGCATGGACCCTAACATGCGGTGGAACGTGGCCGGTACACCCACCAGCAGCGCGCGCTTGCCCGTGAGAGGGGTGATTGGGGGAGTGAGGAAGAGCGTGTGTAGGGGTGATGGGGTCGGAGCAGCGTCGGAAGGGAAGGGTGTGAGGGAGGGCTTGTCGCTCTCGGATCTCTGTAGGGCGGAGGGCGCTGAAGGATCAGCGTCGAGTGAACCAGGCTGACCCGGGCTGCCCTGTGCTGCAGCGGACGAGTCAGTAGCAGCAGCAGCGGCGGTGGCAGATGGGACGGTATTGGCCCGGGGGAAAGGTCGGGGCGAGCGCGATGTGGGGGAGCGAGGAGGCCCGGCAGCGGAGAGAGAGACCGGGGGGATGGCAGTGGTAGCAGAGGTTGGGGAGGCGGAGGAGGGGGTGGAGGAGGAGGTGGGCAGCAGAAGCTTCCCTCTGCGGCTGGTGGGCGTGGTGGGAGCAGCAGCAGCAGCCGCCACAGCAGCCGCAACAGCACCATCCCTTCCCTTCCCTTCCCCACCACCACCAGCACCAGCACTGCCGCTGCTCGAAGCAGTAAGGGACGCAGAGGCCTGATTGGCGAGCAGAGACGGCAGCATGTTGGAGGCTTCGACCATGCTGCCATGAGCGTGGATGGTGAAGTGGAAGGTGGAACCCTTGCCCAGCTCCGTGTCCACCCAGATGCGCCCCCCCATGCGCTCCGATAGGTCCTTGGCTATCGCCATGCCCAGCCCCGTGCCCTCGTACCGCCTCGTGCGCGAGTTGTCACACTGTGTGAACGCCTGGGGGAGGGGAAGAGAAAGCGGGGTGGGGGGGCAGGGGGGAGGGAGCAGGGGTATGGATGGGGTTGCTGTTTAGACTGAGTGAACGCCACGGGGCAGTGAGGACCAAGGGCAGGGGACAGGGGAAGCCAGGGTAAGTGGGGGGGTTGTAGAGGAGGGCAGGCGAGAGGGGCTTACCTCGAAGATGACGGAGGCGAACTCAGGCGGCATGCCGATGCCGGTGTCGCGCACTGAGAACTGAATCTCAAACCATGGCAGCACGCGCCATGCCTCCTCCTCCCCCTGCTGCTGATGCTCTCCCTCCTCCCGCTCTGTGAGCCGACAGCATGGGGCATGCACGGTGGGAACAGGGGAAAACACATTCTGGATGGGATGGGATGGGATGGGATGGCTGAGAGAAGCTTGAAGCGCCTCACAACATGATGGTGATTCATGAAGACCAACCAACATGACACTGCACAACACCACCAGTCACTGCAGTTCACCGCGCATCACCACGCATGACCGCATGTCACCGATGGGAGTGACTGACCAGGGTCGGGGAGCAGAGTGGCGGAGACGGAGACCTCGACCTGGCCGCCCTCGTCCGTGAACTTGGCCGCGTTGGACAGCAGGTTGGTGAGAATCTGCCTCAGCCTCACCTCGTCCGCCCATATCCACCTGCCCTCCCCCATGCACCATGCACCATGCACCATGCACCCACATGCACCATGCACCCACATGCACCATGCACCCACATGCACCATGCACCCACATGCACCATGCACCCACATGCACCATGCACCCACATGCACCATGCACCCACATGCACCATGCACCAACATGCACCATGCACCCACATGCACCATGCACCAAGCACCAACATGCACCATGCACCCACATGCACCATGCACCCACATGCACCATGCACCAAGCACCAACATGCACCAAGCACCAACATGCACCATGCACCCACATGCACCATGCACCATGCACCAACATGCACCATGCACCCACATGCACCATGCACCCACATGCACCATGCACCCACATGCACCATGCACCAACATGCACCATGCACCCACATGCACCATGCACCCACATGCACCATGCACCCACATGCACCATGCACCACGATGCACGCAGCACGCAGAATAGCAGCATGCATCATAGCAGCACACACCGCACAACAATGTAGCACAGCATAATCAATCTGCAAGAACTCCCACTGTCCCAATCTGTTGTCCAAAACACAGTGTACAGCCGTATACAACAATTTCTCCAGATGGCTTGCGGCATGCTTCCACAACAGCACGGCAATGCGGCTCACTGCAAGCTAATGTGCTCGGTGGCAGATAACGTGGTCGTTGCAGTCACCGCGGTACGGAGGGGTGGGTGAGGCACTCACTGCGGTACAGAAGGGTCGACGTTGTAGGAGAGGTCGAGGCCCTTGCGCTGGGACTTGAGGACGAGCAGCTCCATGCAGAAGTCCAGACACGCCCACAGGCTCACCTCCCTCTCGTGCATCTCCATCTTCCCCGCGTCCAGCTGCCACGTGGAGGGAGGCAAGAGGGGGAGAGAGGGGAAAAGGGTAAACAGATGCGATCTGCACCACCTGAGCCTCCAGGAGGCGCGTGTTCGCCTCCTGCACTCGTGCTACTGGAACCACCTGGCCCACCAACCCAGTTTACGAGAGGCACGTACCTTGGAGAAGTCGAGAATGTCAGTGATGAGCGAGAGCAGCTGCTGCCCCGCCCCTGAGATCATGTGCACGAGCTCCACCTGGTCCTGGGTCAGGTTGGGCGCGTCCTGCAGCAGCTGGGCGCACGCCAGCACGGCGTTCATGGGCGTGCGGATCTCGTGGCTTATGTTCGCCACGAACTGCCTCTTAGCGCGCATGCTCGCCTCCCTCTCCACCTCCGCCATCTGTGTGTGTGCCGCCGCACAGGAGTGGATGCAGAAGGTGAATGGAGGGGAGATGAGCGAGAGGGAGGAAGAGCGAAGAGAGGAGAGCCAATCCCCACTACTCGCCAACCTGTGCCTTGCCCATTACCCCATCACTGCTGCCCACCTCACCTCCCCAGCTCATCCCTAAAACAATCTTCGCCCTTCCCCCCCCCTCCCACCACACCCCAACCCTCCCTCCTCCCCTTTGTCCCCATGGGCAGCAGCACTCACGCGCATGCTCTCGAGCTGCCACTCGTTCTCCTTGCGTGCTGTGCAGTCAGACAGAATGCCAAAGTAGTACCTGCCAGCCATGGCACACACGTGGTCAATGGACACATTGGGGGGTGCGCACATGGTGGGGAATATATGGGGAGTGCATGTAGGGATGCATGGGGATGCACATGGGGGGTACATATGCATGCGTAGACACCATCAAACGAATGAGTTACACACACAGCGGCGACCACAGCAGCCTCTACTGAGAGGGAAGCCTCACCTCTGGTTCTTATCAGTTGGCAGGAACGACGACCCGGGCGGCACAGGATGAATGCGCAGCCAATTCCAAAACGGCGTGCCGTCCCGCTTATAATTCATCAGCTCCACAGAAGCAGACCCGCCGGTCTCAACAGCCTTGCGCATGGTCTCAACAGCAGTCATGTTAGACCCTGGGCCCTGCAGGATGGAGCCGCAGTGCAGCCCGACGACGTGCTCGATGGAGTAGCCCGTGATCTCCTCCCACCCCTCGTTCACAAACACCACCGGCTGCCTCGGCTGCGACACGTCCACGAGCACGAGCCCCTCGCTGAAGGCGTCTATGGCGAGCAGCAGGCCCCGCTTGTCCTCCTCAAACTTGTCCGCTTGCTGCCGCTGCACCTCTATCTCCTGGCTGTGCTTGTCCATCTCCTGCCCACGGTCAGGGCAGGGGGGAACAGCGAGGGAAGGGGGAGGGGAGGGAAAGCAGAGAGGTTGGTGAGAGGGACGGTTTCAAGATGCAGTGCGTGGAGCAGCAGACTAACTGATGAGCGCGCGGAGAAGGGAGTGAGGGAGGGTAGAGAGGAAGAGGAGGGAAGCAGAGTCCCATGAGGGTGGTGTGGGGAGGACGAGATGGGAAATAGGGCAGGGAGCGAAGAAGAGGAGAGATGGGGGGGAGGAAGGAGGGAGGGAGGGAGGGAGGGAGGGAGGGAGGGAGGGAGGGAGGGAGGGAGGGAGGGAGGGAGGGAGGGAGGGATGTCTCACGAGAGTGACGAGGGAGGCAAGGGCGACGAGGAGGCTCTCTTGCTCGGGGGAGAATTCGGGGTGCGGCACCGTGTCTATCACACAGCTGCCGTGCATGGGGCGCAGAGAAGAGGAGGGCAGGGAGAATAGAAGAGGAAGGGGGGGGAGGAGGATGAGTGAGGCGAGGTTTGAGTGCGTGAAGGTGACACGGTGACTCATTGTTCACGAGGCAGGTGGCGTGCGTGGCACGCAAGGGAAGGAGCACGGAAGGGAAGAGTGCATGGCAACAAGGTGGGAAAGCACTTCAAGGAAGGCAGGAGGGGTGGCTGGTGGGGCAAGAGAGCGTGGGATAACGAATGAGAGATGAGCTGCAAGCAGGCATGGAACAAGAGAGGACGGGAGAATTGCAGGGGACAGGAGGAGGAGGAGCAGGGGACAGCAGGAGGAGCATCAGTAGCGAGCAGGAGGGGCGAGGACGGGAGGGGCGGGGGAGGGAGAGCGGCGCACAGCGAGCCGATGACGAAGCCCCCACTGGTGGTGACCGGCGCCCCGGCATAGAAGCGGATGTATGGCGGCCCCACCACCTGCCGTGAGGGGGGAGAGGGAAACGGAGAATCAAGATCTTGCTGTGGACGAAACGAATTTGGGAATTCTTAAAGCGAGTGACGGAGGAGGTGAGGTGGCGTGGGTGGGGAGATACTCACGAGCTTGTTGTGCACGAAGCGGCTGTCCTCCAATGCGTCCCTCACCACCAGACATGGATTGCGACTGCATCAGTGGGGGAACGGAGAGGGGGAGGGGGAGGTAGTGCGGAGACCACGGGAGAAGAGGGGAGGGAGAGGCGGATAGGGAAAGCATGGAAGAAATGGGACAGACAAGGGATTTATGCAAGAGTGAGGAAGAAGATGGGATGAAGTGAGGAGGAGAGGAGGTGGGAGGAGGGGAGTGAGGAAGTGAGGAGGTGATACGAAGGTGAGCCATTCCTCTAATCTCATTTGACTGACGACACGCTGTGACACTGATGTTGCTGCAAAAGAAGGGCTTTACTTGGGCAGCAGCATGTAGGCACAGAAGGACGACTCCCTGTCCGTCTCACACACGCCTGGCAGCCCGAACGTGGACTGGTGCACAAAAAGAAGGGGTGGGGAAAGCAGGGGAAGAAGAGATGTTTAAGCAAAAGGCAGAGCGAGAAAGGTACCTCAAGGCAGCACCGCAAGAGTTGAAAAGATTGCAAGCAGACAGCAAGCCCATTCCTTGTTCGGGGGGGCCAAGCAGTTCCTACCTTGAACCACTGCCGCTCGTCCTCCACAAACGCTACCAGAGAGATCGGGCACTGCAGGGCGACGAGGTGCAGAGGGGTGCAGAGGGGGGCAGATGGGAGTAAAGAAAGGTGAAGGCTCAAGGATATTCTGGGAGAAGCACGTTGCAGTGCAGATGAGAGGGGGATAGGGAGAGCGCGATAGTGAGGGGAAGGTGGTGAGAAGGGGATGGTGAGAGAACGATAGTGAGAAGGGGATAAGGAGAGGGGGATAGTGGGACGGAATTAGAGAGACCAGGCGAGAATACAAAATAAGCCCGTGTATCAGAAAGCAAAGCACATGCCTCACGCACCACTTCAATCATGCAATAGGTTGCACTGGGGGGGGCGGAGTGGGGTGGGGGGAATACTGACCTTAAATATCTGTGCTGCTAGTGCTGTGATTCTGTCAAAGCGGGAATTCGGCTCCTGAGGGTGCGGCAACAACGAACAACGATCATGACACAGGGGGGAGGAGGGTGGGGGAAGGGGGGGAGGGAGGGGTGGAGTAGCAGCGGGAAACGGTTTGTGGGGAACCGTGTAGCAGGAAGGAGGAGCAAAAATGAGAAGAGAGATGAAAAGGGGGTGAGGGAAAGTGAGGGAAGTAACTGGATTAAGGTAGGGAAGGCTGAAGAAGGAAGGAAGCGAACTGTAGAAGGGGAGGAGATGGGGAGGGGGAGTGTATGGATTGAGGCTGTAAGTGTGAGGCGGTTGCCGGGTGTCAGAGCGTGCAAGTGTGAGGGGTATAGAGTGGGGGGTGAGAGTGTGAGGGGTTTGAGTGAGAGTGTGAGAGGGGTGAGAGTGGGAGGGGGGTGAGAATGTGAGGGGGCGAGGTACAGTGTCGAGGATGGCGAAGCGGCGGAGCACTTGCAAGCGGAACTCCTCGTTGCTGGGCCTGGGCGCACCCTGTAGGGCGGGAGATGCACGCACGAATAGAGAATAGAGAGGCTGAGACCTACGGGTGACCTACACGCATGACCTACGTGGGAGATCGCTGGAGGAGCACTGACGAGCATAGAGTATATCACTGAAGAGCATTGACGAGCAAAGCGTGAGCACGGTGACACGGCGATGCAACGGGGACAGGAGCCATGGAGCGGGATAAGAACATCGACTCTTGGGCCTTCCTACCAACCCTACAAGTCATTGCGACTCACAGCGGGGTCGAAGGGCACGCCGGGAGGCGGTCTTCTTGGCTCGATGACGAACGGATAGAATGTCTGATCCACGTCATCCACGTCGGGATCCCACGGGACCAACGACCCGTCCGAGTCACCCACGGCCAGGTCAGTGCCAAAATTCGCTGAAACGACATCGGAAATGCCGAAAACGCTGGCGTTGTGGAAGCTAGCTAAGCCCGCGTTCTCGAAATTAGGTCTGGCGGCGTCCCCGAAATCGTTCGCGTTCGCGAAATCGGAAATGTCTAGGTCCCTGAAGCGCGCCGCGTCCTCATTTTCTTCCATCCAGCCGGCGACAGCTGCCTCGAGCGGACAGTTGATGCGGCCGGCCATTTTACCTTTGTCAGGTAAGTAGGTTCCTAATCGCGCATGGCAGCCGGCGAGCTAATTCTTGAACCCGTGCGCAATAGGTAGGCGAGACAAGCTATCCGCTAACAATCTTCTGTTCGGAGTTGTATGCGAGACGGTGCTTTTGGATTGCAACGAAAGTGAATGGAATAAGGTGGGTGGTATCCACAGTCGGATACATTTAGGGTAAGACCAACATAGCTTCTGTCGAACCGTTTAACCTAAATGAGAAGCGCCATCTTTGGCAACCACAGCGACAATGTGAGTCCATGGGCAAGGGGGGAGCGATTGCTTGATCTGGCAGAACAAAATGGTTAGTAGCAACACCGAGCGATGTCGGCAAAAAATCTGGCTACCAGTCCGTTAGGATCGCTTTCCTGAGACACCTTAGTTCCCCCCAAGGATAAAAAAATGCTGCTTGACAACAAGTCATCAATGACCACGCGTGATGCAAGCTGCGCATTTCTCGCTGAAGCAACAGCAGGCGACTTATTTCTGGCTCAGCATAAGAAACGACTGGGTCAGTACGTACAAGTACGTTTAGCAAATCGCTGGGTCTCCTCAGCACCAGTCGACTGATTCTGGCTCAGGAATCTCATTGAGCTGTGCAACCCTAACGACGAAACAAGGAATGAGTTTGTCTGGAGACTATTCCCTACAGGCCAGTTATCTTCACCTCTCCCAAGTGGGAAATCCACTCAAATCATGGTTGCTCCATCGAAAACATATTGCGTGAAAGTATGCCAGGGCTGAACCAAAAGCAACCCTGAAATAGTCAGGCTTGGCCCGCCGTCTTGAAAGGGGGCACGCTGCTGCCTCAAACCCTGCCCACCACCAACCCAACTTGTCGCCATCAATTAGGCAATTTGTTCATCCCTGTTTTGTACACCTAGTCCGCGGTATTTTAACCGCCGCTATCTTAACCGCGCGAGAGTACCTCTCCTTGGTCAAACTTTTTTATAAGAGTAGTTTTGAAATTTAATGAGGGTAGAATCTAGCATACCCTTTGTGAGACGATGGCAGTCAAAACCCGGTCGATGCCGATCCGCCCTCTATTTCGGAGCACTAAGTGTGAGTTTCTTTATAAGGAAATGATTATGGCTGCGAAACAATATCCTTGAAGTCTCTGGGAACCCATCTCATTACCCGAAAACGAACAAAGGGTGTTTGAAGCGAAACAGTTCACGTGGTTAAAATACCGCGGACTAGGTGTACAAAAAGCCACGAAAGCAACAGCTCGTAGGCTTGTCTTCCCCCTCAATCTATGAACAGAGATGAGAGCGTCTCAGACGTGGAATGATCGGATCTCTAGTGCGTGTAAATAGTGATAACGCGAAGCACAGACAAGCATCAATGGGCTAATTCCCCATCCTTCGTGAACTTCCAAAACCGGGGTGGCAGACAGATTGAATACCAACCACCTCCTACCATCCCTGGCGATATTGCTCGACTACACAGATCTGACCCTGTTTTCACAAGACCGTCCGAACATCATCAAACCCCACACTCCACTATTGAAAGGGCAGTACTGAAAGTTACACATCGCGTTTACAAAACCACTGTAGCTTTGAACATGGCCCCTAACCTACCTATCAGAATCCAAAAAAGTTAAATACTGTGCACTTGTAAGATCCAATCGATTGGCACTGTGGCGGTCTCTCCATGTTCAAACTTGGCTTGTTTTTTGGACTTTCTGGCAAGCAAAGAAAGGGTTTTGAGTTGATCACGCACTGGTACAGTCGATGCTCAGCCTATCACAAAACATTTGCTCCTCACAATTAGAAATTTAGTCACTCGCGAACGTTTTGCCCGTGAGTGACTAAATTGACCATTGTGCCGATTTCAGGGTACAGTCACCAAGTTGAGGAAGAAAAACATCTACAGTTCATAAACAACAACGGTTGCCCGTCATCAGAGAAGTTAACCTGGTTACGAAATTAAAGCCCTTGACTCAATTCACGTTGCAATTTCATATTACAGTCACATTTTTGCCCGTGGCGACAAGGCGAACGTGGCGAAATTTCTCAAACTCGTTTCACGCACATGCCGCCCGCCTACCTGGTGTTCTTGAAATGGGCACCGACTGTACTGTACTTATTCGCTCCCAGCGCAGCTACAGTGCTTCTGGCGCACTGTTACTGCCCAGTTCTCGCTTTGAGCGCAGAAACAATGCGGTTTCAACGCAGTTTTGATTTCATTGGTCGACACATGGCACATAACTACAAACTGAACCTGTGGAAACTGTTTGCGAAAGCGGTAACTATTAATATATTCATGCTTTTAATGGTAAAGTAATATATACCCCATTCAGAAGGGGTATCAACCCTAAACACCTTCCGAATGGTGTTTAGGGTTGATGCTCTATCGATGGCACGCCATCGAAAAAATATACTCGTTGGGAAGGGCATCAACCTTAAACACCTTGCCGCCTGGTGTTTAGGGTTGATGCCTCCCTCGAGAAATATGCCACCGATAGGGTTTTATATTTGTTATGCCCGAAATATTAGCGTTTAACGGTTCGGTGGCCGTCAATCCAAGCAGGGTTGTCGGCCCGTCAATTTTGTGACCAATGAAAGCAAAACTGCGTTAAAATCGCAATAACTCTGCGCTGTGAGCGAATTCTGGGCAGTAACAGTGCGCCCGAAGCGCTGTAGCTGCGCGGGGAGCGAATAAGCTCAGTAACAGTGCACGTTTAACTAAAAACCCGCAAAGAAAACTCAAATCCACTGAAAGGAATGCTCTGTACACTATGCAGTATCTAAATAGTGTATTGGAAGAACAACATTCCACTCTAACAAGAGATACTCACAATATCACCACCCTCATCCTTCATTGAGCATTGCATCAGCTTTGTTAGGCCCTATATGAGACCAATAAATCATTACTTTCCCACTAACGGCCAATCAATAGGAGCTTCAACAACGCCATCCGAATGTACACGCCATTCTTAGCTTGGCGGAAATAAGCTGCCCTTGGATCCGAGTCCACATCAGTCGTAATCTGCGAATCATCCAGGGGTAAAATCGTCCAGATATGGTGAAGGCTCCTCACACATCAATTGCATTGTGATCATGATCACGAAAAACGCGTACTCGCACACGCACGCACGCACTCGCACATATGTACACACGCACACCTGCACGCGCGTGCGCACGCAAACACACACACAAAACCAATTCCTCCACCCTCTCACCTCGTCAAGCCGGGGCAGCGGATGCATGACAATGGCATCCTTCCCCAGCGCGTTCATCACACGCCGGTCCACAATGTACTTGCCGCGCGCCGCCTCATACTCGTCCATGCGCCCGCCGAACCGCTCCTTCTGAATGCGCGTCTGGTACACCACGTCGCACTGCGCCGCCACGTCCATCAGGTCTGCCGACTCCTCCCACTCCACGCCGCGCGCCGTCAGATACTCCTTGATGTCGTCCTGATTGGTGCGGCAGCGGGGTGGGGCGACAACAGGGGATCACTACAAGCAGGAGTGCAAGCTTGGAGGGTGCGTGACGGGTACATGAAGGGTAAATGCCATGATCAAGCGACACTGAGATTGGACCAGAAAACAGTGGTATGTGAGACAGGGTGTGATGAAAGAGACTCTGTATGCAACAAGCAAGGAGGCAGAGATGGGCCAAGGCACCTTCATGCGGACGACGGGCGGCGCCACAAAGATGATCTTGTTGTTACGGAACTTGGCAAGCAGGTAGGCCAGGGAGCGTGCCGTCCTGCCGTTGGCCAGGTCGCCCACTAGCCCCACTCGGATGTTGTCCAGCCGCCCCACCTCGCGCTGAATCGTGTACATGTCCAGCAGTGACTGATGGGGGAGGGGTAGGTGTGGGGACAGTGCAGGGAGGGGAGTGCGATAGGGAAAGAAGGGTGAAGTGAGTATACAATGCATCCTGTGACTGTAAAAAAGGTTCATGCTGCCCCATTTACCACTGAATCGTGAACATGTCCAGCAGGGCCTGCCGGGGAAGGGGAGGGGTGGAGCGGGGGAAGGGGATAGGGTGTTGAGTGAGATAGTGAAAGGGGCGTGAGATGAGTCCTGTCCTCCTGTGGATGCAAAGGAGAGCTCATGTTGTGCTCCACCTGCTGGGCTGTTCATCTGGTACTTCACCCCACGCTTTCCACCTATGCTGCCACAACCTCCTACCTCCCTCACCTGCATTGAGCCGTGCTGCCCTAGTCCCCTCACCCGCGTACAGTGCTGCCCTAAACCCCTGACCTCAAGGTGAAGCCCTAAACCCCTCACCGGCAAGCCCGAAACCCCACAGGTGCAAGCCCTAACCCCCTCACGAGCAAGCCCTAAACCTCTCACCTGCGTGGGGTGCTGGCCGGGCCCGTCCCCCGCGTTGACGATGGGCACGGACGCCACTTGCGACGCCAGCTTCGCCGCGCCCTCCTCGTAGTGCCGCAGCACGATCACGTCCGCGTACGCCTCCACCGTGCGGATGGAGTCTGCAAAGGAGAAGGGGGGTGTGTAAGAGGGAGGGGGAGAAGGGGGTGGGGCATAGCTTTGAGGCCTCAACACTAGAATCCTCGTAGTGCCGCAGCACGATCACGTCCGCGTGCGCCTCCACCGTGCGGATGGAGTCTGCAGTCGGTGAGAGGAGGGGGGGGAGAAGGGAGAGGACGAAGGGGGGGTGCGGGGGATGGGAAGGGGGGAGGGAGGGGGAGAGGAGAGGGAGTTGGTAGTGGTGAGGAGAGGTTTAGCAAGAAAGGGAACACAGGGAGGAGGAGATGAAAGGAAGCCAGCAAGGACACAAAGGACTTTACCAACGTGGCCAATTCTTTGAATTCATGCTCTAGACTTAACTGCTGAAATCATTTATAGATTTCACTCTGTGAATCGGTCATTCTTACTGATTCGGTAACAAAATACTCCGAATCCACTCTCCACGTGCTGTACTATCTCTTCATTTCCTTTTCATCTAAATTTCTTCTACCTTTCCCCCCTTCCCCGCCTCCTTTTCCCCCGTTTTCCCCTCACTTCCTCCCGAACTCACCCGCAAGGCTCTCGCCCTTCGCAGCGGACGAGAATTCGCGCGCGTTCTCCGTGGTCAGCACCTCGCCGCCGAGCCGCTTCATGGCGGATTCGAACGACAGCCGCGTGCGCGTGGACGGCTCGTAGAAGAGCGTCGCCATGAGGTACCCGCGCAGCATGTTTGAGCACCCCGCGCCGCCGCGCCCCTCCAGGATCTGCTGCATCTCGTCCGCGACCTCGAAGATCTCCGACAGCAGATCGCGGTTGAACTGTTGCGCCTCGAGCACGTGCTCGAACCGCCGCTTCTCAACGGGAGGCTCGCGAAGCGCGGAAGACGGGGAAGGAGACAAGGGCGCTGCGGCGGTGCTGGTTGATGGAGTGGAGGTTTGCGCGACGGTTCGGGACCTGGGTGGTTCGGGTTCCGGCGCTGCGACGCGTGCGAGTGCCAGGCGACGTCGCGTCGGATGTTGCGAAGCCTGCGAAAGTTGTTGTGCTGGCTGGAGGGATTTCGCAGACCGACGAAGCGATCCTGCACTAGACTTGAGCGACAGGAATTGCGGAGCGATCGCAGCCATGGCGACAGGTGGCGATGATTTCCCGCTTCTGTGAGAAAGGATTCTTGGAAAGCCAAGAAGCGATCCTAGCGCCTGCCGCTGTTGCTAAGGTTTCAACTGTCGTCCGAAGGAAAGAGTGCCAGCCCGACACGGCGACCTAGGCACAAAACTGGAGACGAGAAAGAAATGCGAGGCAAGCGGACTCGCAAGTGAAGGAGGACCTTCGACAAGAATCTTAAAGTACGTGTGACCCTGGTAATGGGGAAGGAATTTGCAGAAAGTCAGGGGATGGTGTGGGTGCAACGGGATGGGAAATGAAGCAGAAGCCACGTGCTTCAGGGGAGATCCTCAACGTTTGGAGATTAGTAGCACTGAAATTGCGCGGTGTCCCCCTGCTTGTCCCCTGAACCCTGCCCTGCTTGCTATGAAGTCCTGAATTTACAGGGTGCGTTTTACCACCCTGAGGGCACACTATACAGTTCATTCGTCGTGGTTTGAAACAATATCAAACGGTGCACAGCGGTTTTAAAATTGCACCGTTTTGAACCGTGACGCAGTACAGATTACCGTACTGGATGAACTGTAATGTACGGAAAACGAACGCGGTGGACCCTACCTGAGGAGCTCTGGATTCTGTACTGGATGACCCGACTACAATAGCATTTCCCACACTGTACACATAAATCCCCTCAAATCTTCCTAAGCAAGTTTTCGTCCCTGTTCTCCACCTTCCCCATACACCAGTGAGGTTGAGTCCTAGCGGCCCTACCTTTCCCCACGTTTCTAGGCTTGGCGAAATTTCTCAAACAGTTACGCTGTTTCACAGCCCTCGCGCAAGGCTGGAGTTCGCGCAATGCCAGCTCTCCATCCCGCCTCGTCCTTCTATCGCCACGTTGCCTTCACTAGGCTCCCGTGTGCCTCTAGTAGCTGTTGTTCCGCAAGCAACTTCCAGCTGTCCAGCTTTCTGTCCTCTCCTTGCGTTTTTGGAGGATTCTACCGTCGAGGGCATTACTCATCTAACAAAACCCGTTTCCACAACGGCTCGGTAATCGATCGTTTCGCGTCTTTCGCACGTTCCCCTGCGCAATTTCCGGAATTCGATTCGTCTGCGAGCACCCTTGCACGCGCCATGTCGCAGCACGCATCCACTCCGGCGGAGGGGCAGCGGACGCCGCGCCAGGCGCCGCGCAGTCAGAGGAGGACAACATTCCGGGGATGATGGAGGTGCGGCAGCTGCTGACCGACGACCCATCCGGTGAGCCTCTCTCCAATTCATGGGGCGAACGTAGGAGGACTGGGACTGTGCGATGACTGCTGCGACGCACGCCGTCGCACAGGCTCAATGATTTCCGTCCTCACTGTCTGCGTCCGTGCCAGCGCGTTTGCGCTGTTTCCCCTCAATCATTCGCACCCCCATCATCCGCACCCCAAGAGGCGCCGAATCATTCTGTGGAAATTGCTTACGGTACCCTGGCATTGGCGTGGTTGATTGCCCCTCCATTCTCGCTTCTCTATCGCCTCCACTCGCCGCTGTCTCTCCCTCCGCGCCCGCGCCAGGCGGGTGGGACAAGGCGTGGAAGGCGAGCACGACGCCGTGGGACCTGGGCGGCGTGACGCCGGCTGTAGCGGCGCTCGTGGCGGCGGAAGAGGGGTCGCCCTGCCGCCCTCCATCCGCCGCGTGCTCGTCCCCGGCTGTGGCACCGTGAGTGCCACGCGCCCGGCTGTAGCTCAGGAATGCGCAGTGGTTGTATTATGAAAGACGTGAACCGGGCTGTAGCAAGAGGGGGGAAAGTCCAAGGCATGTGAGATAATTTCTCTTTGGTGCTGTGTTTTTCCTTTGGTGCGATGATTTCCCTTTGGTGCGATGATTTCTCTTTGGTGCTATGATTGCTCTTTGGTGCGATGATTGCTCTTTGGTTGATTGTCTTAAACTTTCCATGCCCACGGCGCAACACTGCATGCTGTCACGTGGGTGGGTCCATGGCATGGCATGGCATGGGGTGGTTCTGGATACCATGGCATGGCATGGATGTCATGGCATGATATGATGGCATGTCACCGAATGATGTTGATTACCTTTGCATGGCATGGCAGGGGTACGACGTGGAGGCGTTTGCATCGAATGGCAGGGAGGCGACGGGACTCGACATCTCTCCATCTGCTGTGGCACATGCAGAGAAGGTGGGCGTGCGTGACATGGGTGCCGCATTAGCGCACTCCCCTCATGTTTCTTGATGGGTACAACTCGCACAGGCAGGTGGGCAGCGGGTGTGCGGCTAGCACTGAAGCTATTCGCCCTCCATCCCTTTCTTCGCCCTTCGCGTTCTTCGCCCATCCCTTTGCTCGCCACCCCTGCCCTCACACTCCTTTCCACTCCTCCCCTGCTGTCCAATCTCCACCCTCTGAACCCTCTTCACCCTCTCTACCCTCTCAACCCTCTCCTCCTCCCGCCGAACCTCCCCCCCCCCCCCCCCCTCTGCTCACCCCAGCGGGTGGATGGGGCGGCGATGACATTTGTGTGTGCCGACTTCTTTGAGTACCGCCCAGCACAGCCCTTCCATGCCGTCTTTGACTACACGTGAGCCCCTCGCCTCTGTCTCCCTCCCCCTCTGTCTCCATGCCATCTTTGAGTACCGCTCTGCACAGTCCTTAGATGCCGCCTTTGACTACACATGAGTCAGCCCCGCCCCTCGCCCTCTCACCCCGCTCAATCCTCTGCATGTCACCCCCCTCGCGCCCTTAGTCTCTCACCCCTCGCATGCCATGCACCTGCTCCCACACCAGCTTTCGCTCCCCCTGCTGCACTCCCTTCCCCTAGCGCATGCCTACCATCTCAATTGCTCCCACCTCTGTTGTGTCCCATTCGCCGTCTCTACCTTCGATAAGAGCACATACCCCATCTTGCCCCCATTCTGCTCATACAGGCCTTGTCAATACCCACATGCCCTATCGCCCTTGCCCTGCCCCTCACACCCTCACGCCTCCACGCGCCATCCTTCCATGCCCGCATCCCCCCGAGCCCGTCCCCACGGCCCTCCCTGCGAGCAGCTTCTTCTGTGCGCTGCCGCCATCGCTGAGGGGCAAGTGGGCGTGGGAATATACGCTTATAGCGTATATACGCGTATCGTATATACGCTAACGTATATACGCTAAACGCTTAAGGGTCGATTTGGTAATACGCTTTTTCGGGCAGGTAAAAAACTATCCCGGGCAGGGTGAAAAAAATGTCGTGCTCAAGATTAAGAAGGTGATTCGTATTCTCATTAAGACTTTCGTAGCATTTCCCTAAGTCTGAACGGCGATTGGGGTGGAATGTGGAGTAGACACTAAAAGGAGAAGTAGGTAGGAATCGGAAGGAGCTCTGCTGTTAGAAAGCGGGAATGCCAACTAGAAATGACGACTGGAATTTTGCTAGCTGGTAAGTAGCGTGAGTGGGGTTTGGTGGGAGACGTTTTTGACAGGTTGGAATTCGTAGATAATATGGGTTTCAATGCGGTACCAATCTAATGTTCAAATTTGAACTGCCTGCAACTTCGAAGGGCCACTCCCGCTTCCCTAGACCGTCAAATTGCATTTCGACTTAGGCGAAATGCTCAGCAGAAGATTCCGCATCTTTCTGTATACAAGCGATTTCTTTCCCTGGGCAGCCCAAAAAAATTTCTGATAGCGTATAGCGTATTAGCTAGCGTATTGCGTTTTGCGTACACACGCTAGCGTGTATACGCTATATGTTTTAGCATCCGAAAAATCAAGGGGGGGGGGAAAGTATGTTCGAAGTAACATCTGAAGTTACCTTGGGGGAACAGTTTCGAATGTATGTTTGAGGTTACGCCTCATTCTACTCTTCGAGCAGACCGCGCATGATTCACTCCCCAAAGTTTTCGGAACCAATCGTCAGGTACCGCATATTCGGTTCGGGGAATTCCACGATTGGACAATGGTATGGTTCAATTTCTTTGGCGACTTCAATCATTGGACTTCCAGGTCTTTCGGAATCGACCCAATTGGCCGACATTTGACACACGAGCGAACAGTTCGTCCGATAAAACGCATAAATTCTAGTGACTGTAGCAATAAGTTGTATATGATGCGAATACGCCTTAAGCAATTTTGAACTGGCACTGTTTTTATGTTTGGTTATCGTTCGGTTACACAGGAATATATACATTAATATAGAATTGATTTCATATTGTCATTTCAATGCAAACGTGCATACATAATTTCACCGCATACCTGCATTTGCATACAACCTCTAGCATTTTTCTTGTAATGGTTCAGCATAAAGGGTCGATTTATTAAAACATGTGTATAACATCAATGACATTATCGACTCAATAAAGCTTTTGCAAGCATTAACAACGCTAATAATGATTTGAGGTCTCTAAAAATAAACTTGGAAAGGAAGACCTTCCGCTCCTCAAATAAGGAAATGTAGGGCCTGCAGAACAAAACATGGTACAATCTTACCAGCAACAACTGTCATCGTAAATGATTTCGCGATTACAACCTGCAAGGAAAAAGAGACGACAGCAAGAAACAGGCGAGCTGCAGTGAGAAATCAAGAAACAAGCAGAAATAGCATGCATGCCATACCACAGCATGCGGCGACCACGCTACCTGATGCATCGCGTCGGGCGCCAACGGGCCTGATACAATCGAAAGACATGATAACATAGTGACGGGATGAGTCGAAGAGAAAACAACAGCAGCGAAAGGACCCAAGTCAACAATGCATCGAACACCAGCCTAAGGTTCCAATGCTTACCTTTCTTCTGAGAATCTGGAACTGTCGACGTTTACACGTCCCACCTAGTGGCTCAGAAGCTGACGAATGCTGACGGCGAGACTTGGCGATTCTGTAAGCAGCGCAAGAGAATAGACAAAGGGAAGGGCGGGACCGGGCAAATACTCAATGAGCTGAGCTTCGCAACAGGCGATCGAGATCGAGCAAGGCAAACAAGGCCGAAATTAAAGTTACGAAGTCAGTGTTGCATGTTTCTAAGGTTTCTTATTTGACAACTCGTGGTGAGTTGAGCTTCGCTGAGAAAAAAAAAAAAAAAAACTGCTAAACGGAACGAACATGGACTTCGCGGCTACGGGGACAGAAGTAATAACTAATAGCAGAGTGACTACTTCCCTACTAACACTCGTCGAACAGATAAAACGAGAGGATCGGATTGTGCTCATGAAAAGAAGGAACAAGCACATACACCCTGTCACCCACCACCTGCGAAAGCTGGCGGTTGCCTCGCTGGTAGGTCAGTGTGGCGACAAACCGCCCACTGCCATACCAGCGAGGCAACGCCAGCGTGCGTCGATGATTTTGTTTCAGTAAATCAGTGGCTCAGCAGTGGCAAAGCAGTGTCAGCGCTGTCACAGGCGTGAGCAAACAATTGGACCACACAAGCATTTTCGGCGTACAGCGACGCACTGCGACGCAATCGCACAGGCGTGTGTTGCAACTACCAGCTTGATGAAAGGGGAGGGCTGTTACAGCACGGCAGGTTCACGAACAACGCTGTACACAATATTCGTGCCGAAGACCTACCCACTTAGAGTATCTCGTTAGTCCAAGGCCCAATTTCGGAAGTCTAAATTCACACAGACAAAATGTCACAATTTATAACAAGCATAGGCGATATCTGTTCACAGGCAATAAGAAGCCCACGGATGGTGAGGTTTATGACTGCATTTTCCGAAGACTAGAAACAAAACACATATAACATATAATTTAACTATTTTTTTCATTAACATTCTAAAATTGTGCCACTTCAAAAAAAAACTATGTTACATAGCTCATAAACATATAGATATATATATATACATATATATATATATATGAAAATCATATAAGTGGCGTTTAAGCTCCTTTTGTCTCTCTCTCTCTAATGGTCCGTATATTGATAAGCCAGAAGGGTACACACTGTCAGAACATTATAGCTTATGCTGTTGTGTAGGCTATAGTGGGGTATCCCATAGGGGGTACAACCAATTAGGGTTTCATATTTGTACTCACTTCATTTCATAGTTCATTCATTCTTGTTCAAATCTTCTCATGGTATCGAGCAGGTTCCCCCTTGGGAACTGTGCTTAGGGCCCACCACATCGATTTTTTTTTTCTTGCCCGAAGCGCGCTCAGCCCGAGTCGCGCTCCGGGCCCTCACTTCGTCGAGCCGCCCTAGCGGCCCTGCACTGCGGCCCCGCCACCCGTCTCCGCGGCCCCGCCGCCCGTCTTCGCGGCCCCGCCGCCTCTCTCCTAGCGGCCCCGCCGCCCTACCTAGCGGCCCCGCCGCCCTACCTCGCGGCCTCGCCGCCCCATTGCGCGGCCCCGCCGCCCTACCTAGCGGCCCCGCCGCCCCATCGCGGCCCCGCCGCCCCATCGCGCGGCCCCGCCGCCCTATCTAGCGGCCCCGCCGCCCTACCTAGCGGCCCCGCCGCCCCATCGCGCGGCCCCGCCGCCCCATCGCGCGGCCCCGCCGCCCCATCGCGCGGCCCCGCCGCCCTTCCTCGCGGCCCCGCCACCCCATCGCGCGGCCCCGCCGCCCCATCGCGCGGCCCCGCCGCCCCATCGCGCGGCCCCGCCGCCCTACCTAGCGGCCCCGCCGCCCTTCCTAGCGGCCCCGCCACCTTACCTGCGGCCCCGCCCTTACCTGCGGCCCCGCCGCCCTCTGCTGCGGCCCCGCCACCTTACCTGCGGCCCCGCCACCTTACCTGCGGCCCCGCCACCTTACCTGCGGCCCCGCCGCCCTCTGCTGCGGCCCCGCCACCCTATCTGCGGCCACGCCGCCCTTACCAGCGGCCCCGCCGCCCTTACCTGCGGCCCCGTGCCCTGCAGCAGCACAGCCGAGCCGCCCAGCAGCCGAGCCGCCGAGCCGCCCAGCAGCCGAGCCGCCCAGCAGCCGAGCCGCCGAGCCGCCCAGCAGCCGAGCTGCCCAGCAGCCGAGCCGCCCAACAGCCGAGCCGCCCAGCGGCCGCGCCGCCCAGCAGCCGAGCCGCCCAGCAGCCGAGCCGCCCAGCAGCGGAGCCGCCGAGCCGCCGGGCCGCCCAGCAGCTGAGCCGCCGAGCCGCCGCGCCGCCCTCCTTCAGGGCCGCCCGACCTGCCCAGTCTGGTGAGCACATCGCCTTTTCACTGCACTGTCCTCACCCCACTGTTTGCGCTGCTAGTCGTCTAGGGTCATGGCTACCCCTAGTGTTCTCGCCTTTGACGCTGAGGGTAGGGCCATTGACTTTGAGGTCTGGGTAGATGACCTGCAACTGTTCTTACAGTGCGATAGGGCAGACGGCCTCTCTCTCTTTGACCTCACCTCTGGCACCTCCACTGCCCCTGCTGCTGATGCTGACGCCACTGTTCGCTCCCAGTGGGCCACGCGCGACGCTGCTGCACGTCTTGCTGTGCGTCGCCACCTCCCTACCTCCGAGCGTGCGCACTTTAGTCAGTACAAGAGTGCTCAGACCTTGTACGACGCTGTAGTTGCGCGCTACTCCTCCCCTGCCACTGCTGCACTGAGCCGTCTCATGCTACCGTACCTCTTTCCTGATCTTACTGCCTTTCCCACAGTCACTGACCTCATTACGCACCTCC